GGAGTAGGAATAGGAGTAGGTATGTATATATGTGTGCAGATAGAAGTATCTTTATCGACATGTCCGTACAGGTATGTATGCACATGCATATATATTCATAGAGGACACAGTTACAGATAGATTTCAGACATAAACAAGTACCTCGTGAGACTGGGTTTCTGATTTTGGAGGCTTAGGACCTTAGTCTCATGCACTACTTAGTCAACTGGCATAATGTAGTTCACAAGGTTCATGTTCTGAATCCTGAGGTGAATGGTATCTGAGGTCTTAAAACAATGCGAGGAGCCATCTAAGATACATCTATTGGTCTCGACTCATCAAGAGCAAAAGAGAAAGAAAGAAACCAAAGTTTCAGAGAAGAAACTAGTCTACAGGGCTAATAACCTATGTGAGCCATGGTCTCATCTACCCTAAGACCAGAAGAACTAGACAGTGCCTGGCTACCACTACCAACTGTTCTGATCAGGGCCACAATAGATGTACCCCGACTGAATAAGAGAAAAATGCAGAATAGAAATCACTTTCTTAAAAAGTCCAAACTTACTGGACCCGTTGAGACTAGAGGACTCCCTGAGACTTTCGCCATGAGATACTCTATAAACATTAAACCAAAACTATCCACTGAGGCCAACTTTTAGAAAAATAATAGATTGGCACACAAAATACAGGCTATTACCCATGAGTATGGTTCTCCATCTGTCTGAAACCAAAAGGTCAACAATTATTCTAAAGCAAAGATGAGAAAATAAGAGGGCAGGGAAATTAGAATAATAGAAATGCAACAATCAGGACAGAATTAAAGAGAATTTGGACATATTGTGAAAAATGTGTCACTGAACAATTTCTCTCAAAATTGTCAAATGGGAACATAATTTGCTGTGTTAAATTTCACCAAAAACACAATAAAAATATTATTTAAATCAAAAAGATTTTTGTTTCAAGATGGAAGAGGCATAACAAATTTAAATGATGAGGCGGATTGTGAAAAGAAGCAGAGGTTGCTGGTAAAGGAGATTTAATTTATAATCAATTATCTTTCCTGACAAACCAGGAAAGAAAGAGTTTCAACAGGAGACCTTGGACTTAACCTGGGGTAGAGATGAGTCCCAACTTAATAGTAGAGAAAGAGTAACCAGTGGGCATGAGTGCAGGAATATGTACAGATATTTTGGTGATAAGCTAAAGTAATTTGTTGAATTATGTCATTCACCTTCTTAGCAGGAGGTAATCCCATCTATTGAAAGTAAAGGAAAAGGTGAGAACTTGTAAGATTCAAAAGGCATAGCGAAGATTTGAAAACTTTATGGAGCATGGAAAATTACTGAGACAAGTAGGATTGTCGGATTTACAAGATACTAGAAGTAGTGACTGTGCTTAGATCAGCAACAATATTGTAGTCATGATCCGTGTAACATGCAGTCATGGACGAATTTGATATCCTCTTCTATTGGTGTCTTGATCAGCAAATATCATACTCACAGGGACATAAGAAATGTTGGTCTTGATAACTGCATGTTGGACCTGAGTAACCATGGATTAAACTGGGCGGCAGAAATGAAAAGAGATAGCAGCTAATAGCTGGGAAGTGGAATCAATGCCCTGGAGGTTTTTGTGAACCAGGAGATCTTGGGCATAGGGTGTAATTTTGTGAAAAAGCAGTGAGAGATATGTGCAATAAAAGGCTGAGGCCTATGATTATTGATGTGAGAGGTGACATTCCAGGTAAAAGCCAGATGTGATGTGTAACTATTAATTCGAGGTTAGGAGACAGGCAGAGCAAGTTCAAATTCTAGCTGTGTGATTGTCTAGGTATGCAATTGTGACATCGTACTAATGTTTTCTGAACCTCTGCTAAATTGAAAGAATTTGTTAAATTGAAAAATAAACCATAATAAATAGGGTTATTGTGAGAACTAAATAATTAAATGTATGTAAATCTCCAGGCCCAGAGTCACATTTAATAAAAACTTTTTTTTTTCTGTGCCAAATGGAATATACAGGAATCAAATCAACTACATCTGTGGAAAGGGACGATGGAAAAACTCAATATCATCAGTCAGAACAAGGCCAGGGGCCAGCTGCAGAAAAGACCATCAACTGCTCATATGCAAGTTTAAGTTGAAACTGAAGAAAATTAGAACAAGTCCACGAGAGCCAAAGTACAACCTTGAGTATATCCTACCTGAATTTAGAGACCATTTCAAGAATAGATTTGACGTATTAAACACTAATGACCAAATACTAGAGGAGTTGTGGAATGACATCAAAGACATACATGAAGAAATCAAGAGGTCATTAAAAAGAAAAGACCAAAATGCATGTCAGAAGAGACTCTAAAACTTGCTCGTGAACATCGAGTAGCTAAAGGGAAAGGAAGAAATGATGAAGTAAAAGAACTGAACAGAAGATTTCAAAGGGCAGTCTCAGAAGACAAAGTAACATTATTATAATGACATATACAAAGAGCTGGAGATAGAAAACCAAAAGGGAAGAATGCACTCGGCATTTCTCAAACTGAAAGAACTGAAGGAAAAATTCAAGCCTCAAGTTGCAATAGTGAAAGATTCTATGGGAAAAATATTAAATGATGCAGGAAGCATCAAAAGAAGATGGAAGGAATATACAGGGTCATTATACCGAAAAGAATTGGTAGACATTCAGCCATTTCAGGGGGTAGCATATGATCAGGAACCAATGGCACTGAAAGAAGTCCAAGCTGCACTGAAGGCATTGGCAAAAAACAAGGCTCCAGGAATTGATGGAAGATCAACTGAGATGTTTCAACAAACAGATGCAGTGCTTAAGTGCTCACTTGTCTATGCCAAGAAATTTGGAAGACAACTACCTGGCCAACTGACAGGAAGAGATCCATATTTATGCCTATTCCCAAGAAAGGTAATCCAACCAAATGTGGAAATTATTGAACAATATCATTACTATCACAGGCAAGTAAAATTTTGCTGAAGATCATTCAAAAGCGACTTCACCAGTATATAGACAGGAAACTGCCAGAAATTCAGGCTGGATTCATAAGAGGACATGGAACCAGGGATTATCATTGCTGATGTCAGATGGGTCCTGGCTGAAAGCAGAGAATACCATAAAGATATTTACCTGTGTTTTATTGACTATGAAAGGCATTCGACTGTGTGGATCATAACAAATTATGGATAACATTGCGAAAAATGGGAATTCCAGAACACTTAATTGTGCTCATGAGGAACCTGTACATAGATCAAGAGGCAGTCGTTCAAATAGAACAAGGGGATACTGCATGGTTTAAAGTCAGGAAAGGTGTGCGTCAGAGTTGTATCCTTTCAACATACCTATTCAATCTATACCTTGAGCAAATAATCTGAGAATCTGGACTACATGAAGAAGAATGGGGCATCAGGATTGGAGGAAGGCTCATTAACAACCTGCATTATGCAGATGACACAACCTTGCTTGCTGAAAGT